TAGATTTCTATGATGTCCTTCCTTGGCTTGCCTACTCGTCTCATATTTACCATAGCCTGTTCTTCCATCTAGAGGAAACTTAGGAGTTCCTCTTACTAATTCCTTGGTTATGGTCTTCTTCATCCTTTGAAGATGTCTACCTTTCTCCAACCATATTTCATCCTTCTTTTCTTCATTGATCAAGACAATTAGGTTACTTCTGGGCTCCCATAAGGAACAGTTGTTCTTGCCTCTAGTTCCCCTCATGATTTCCTCACCTTCTTTATTGACAACCATACATGTCTCCTTAGTGAATTTGACACTAAGTCCTTGGTCACAGAGCTGACTGATATTGATAAGATTTATAGTCAGTCCTTTAACCAACAAGACATTGTCTAGTTTTGGAGCACCAGGACAGTCTAGTGGTCCAATCCCTTTGATCTCTCCTCTAGCTTCATCACCAAAGGTCACATGACTTGAGGTAAGAGGTTTGATGTTTACCAACAAGTCCTTTGTTCCAGTCATATGTCTAGAACAACCACTGTCAAAATACCAGTCTCCTTTGGTAGGCATCCTAAGAGAGTTATGAGCTACTAGAGCAACCTCCTTGGTAATCCATTGTTTTTCCTTGGCAGGGACATCCTTCTTGAGCTTAGCATGATGTTGTTTCTTGACATGAGCACCCTGTTTGGATTTGCCTTGATGAGGATGACTAGGAAATCTGTTCAGCCAGAAACAGAAAGGTTTAATGTGTCCAAGTTTACCACAGTAGTAACACCTATACCCTTGAAACCTTTTCTTAGTTTGGTTCCAGCTTCTGTTTCTTAGATGTTGTGACATTGGTCGTGACATCCATTTTGACCTCTGAGTTTTAGGCTTTGGCCTTTTGAGCTCCAAGATGGGTTTCTGTTCACCAACAAATCCCAGTCCAGCCATGTTTCCAGCTTTCTGACCACTCTGTAGAATTCTTTCTAGAGTGTCAGTCTCAGGGTTTAGCATCCTTATGGATTTTGACATCTGCTCCATTTTGGATTCCAACAAACTTGCCTCACTTTTGAGTGAGTCTATTGTTGCAAGATGCTCTATCTTCTCAGCCTCTAATTCCCTTATGCATTTCTTCTGTTGTTCTCCTTGCTGATGTAATTCTACACTTCTTGTGCATAGCTTTTTGTATGAATCTGCAAGTTTATCATAAGTTAGCTCATCTTCACTTGAATCACCATCAGATATGCATACAATGTTCAGAACAGTGACATGTTTAACACATTCTTCTTCTGATCCACTTTCAAAATCTCCATCTGACCAAGTGACTGCTAGTCCCTTCTTTTGCTTCTTGAGATAGGCGGGACACTCAGTTTTAATATGACCATAGCCCTCACATTCATAACACTGAACTCATTTGCCTTGGTTAGATGTATCTTCATATTTTTCCCTTCTGTTGGTGTCAGAGGAGCTGTTCTTGACATAAGGCTTAGACTTATGGTCTATTCTTTTGATCAGTTTGTTAAATTGTCTTCCAAGCAAGGCAATTGCTTCTGACAAATTCTCCTCATTGTCTTCCTCTAAGTCATCTGCAGTGTTTGAAGCAAGTGTTATGCTTTTGTTCTTTTTCTCCACAGCTTGACCACTCATTCCCATAATTGGAGCCACCCAGTAGTCAAAATTAGAGCCATCCAGAATTGGTGGTCTATTTGTGAATCCTATATCTTTATCCATAGTACCAGAATTTATCCTCCCTAGATCTCACCCAGAAAATAACAGGCAGGGTGCCTGCTCTGATTCTAATTGAAATTTTGGCAAGCATACAATGGATGTTATCACGGATGTTATGACATCCACTGTAACACAGACTAATGGACTTACTAATAAGTTGTAAATGGAAAGCAGTAAATAACACAAGTAATTGTTCACCCAGTTCAGCGTCAACCACACCTACATCTGGGGGGTACCAAGCCAGGGAGGAAATTCACTATTAGTAGAATTAATTCAGAGTCAAACAACCTGTTTGCACTCTTCACTTAAGACCTACCCAATGATACTTCAGCCTAGAAACCACTAGACCAGAGTTTCCCACTCACTCCCCCTCAATCACCGCAGTGATAAAAAAAATATACAATTACAATAGAGATAATGAAGACACACTTCAAACACACCTTGATCTTGCTTCATAGCTTTGATCAAGAGACACACACTCTTGCTTAACAGCTTTGAGTGACACAATGAACACACCAGTTCATACACAATAACCAAAGCAATTATACAGCATACAATTACTTGGCACATAAGGAATCCTTAGACTCCTAAACACACGTGAAGAACAAGGTTCTTCACTCACAAATCACACTCTCCAATCTCTCTCCAGAAGCTCTGCCTTCCAGCTCTCTACTATTTGGAGTGATCCTTCTGCTATTTATAGCAGCAGACTTGCTTTGGGCCTTGATGGAGAAACTAGGTTTACCCAAGATAAACCTCTCTTCATGAAGTTGCGCCCTTATCATCAGGTCAGGAGTCTTCTATGTTATCCTCAGCAATGCCTGTTATGTCGCCTAAGATAATTAGGCGTCCTGAATTGTTTTCTGAAGTATAGCCTGAGCTAATAACAGAAAAACTAACCCTGCGCGCCTTGATGTCATACGCTTGATGTTATAACATCCAGCATGACATTCGGCTTCACTTACTCTTAGCTCTCCCTGCAGAACACTCTTCATGTATGTCATAACATCAGTTATGACATTCATACATACATTAATGTTTTGCCATAAAATTCAGTCAATCAAAAGCATCTACGTACTATGTCAAAAATAACCACCATCAACGGTCTTTTCTCCAGAAAATGACACATTTTGCTTGCATATCTTCAATTCGCCACAACTTTAACGCGTCACCTTTGAGAATCGGATAAGGACAAAAGACAATTATCATTCTTATTCAAAATTCAAAACCTTTGTCGAACGCAACCTCAATATTTCTTCTGTCGAAATTGAAATCTAAACTCAGAAATATTTCTAAGTCTTAACCCAGTGTATCCCTCTTTCAAAGGGTCTCTTCGACTAAGATCTTTAATAATACTCCTGTCGAATCCAAAACATCTTTAAAATATTTCTTTTGCTTATCATACTCAATCAAACCTTGACGTCGAAACTTCCAGCTAACAACACGATAAATGAAGAAGACAAGAAACATTGTCCAATATAATGGTCATCTTGTCAAATGGCATATGAAAGGATGATGTTTCTGGATGTCACCTCTCTACAAATGATGATATTAAATTGTGATTTATCCTCGACAAACCGGTTCTCTGTAGAGAGGATAGACCCGAATCAGACAACCATCCCTCTATCAGTGGTGGGAGATTGTGCGAAACTCTTCTTATCAATTTGCTACCATGTATAATAATCTTTAATTTTTTTCGTATTTCTGTCCTAAAAATAATTTATAATATATGTTATAAAGTATAACTAATTAAAATTAAAATTAACTCAACATAAAATGATAGAGATTAACTTACTTCGCTGAATCACAATTGGCGAGCATCATGATCTTGATACCTCACTAGAAGAGACGTATCGAACAATCCTCCGTGGAAGTGTGGTTGTTGTAGGCGAGGCTCAGGTGTGATTATCTGATGATCCTCTCGATCCGTCGCCTGTTGAGGTTGTCAACTTTCACCCGTTCGTTGATAAATATTCTCATTCCAACCTTTAATGCATGCCACTAAAAAAACAAAAAAAATATTGGACGTTAAAAACATGAATCAGATAACTTTGAACTAAGTTCTCCAAATGACATTAAAAACTAGATAACCATGATGCTAGTTTTTCGGTGTACAACTTCAAGAACCGGATAACATGGCTAAGAGTTATTCGATTAGAATATATGTGAACCAGACTATTATATGTCAAGCTAGTCGGTGTGTAACATTTTTCTTAATCAAATCAGATAACTTTCTTGTGAAATTTTCGATGTGGAAAAACTAAAGAACTGGATAACTTTCCTCTGTGTTCTCCAGTTTGTAATCGAAATGAATATTTTAGGTATGTGGTTTTTGATTTTCACGTACTCTCTTTTTCTTTGAAATGAAATGAGAAAAAAAATTAAAAATTTTAAAATATAGATAATTATGTAAGAGTATTTTAATCCAACCTCATAATTTATAAGGATAAAGGAATAAATAAAAAGATATAAAATAAAATTTTCATAATTCAAGTGTCTAAGTTGAACTCGTCGCCTCATTTAGTCGAGACAAATTCTTTTAACATGTTTTTTTCTTAAATTTAATTACGAAACTTGATCTATAGCTTATAGAGCAAGTTAACATATCCGATCCAATTGTACACCTTCAAAATACACAGTAGATTACACAAATTAAGGAACCATTGTCTCTAAAAAATGTGTGAAAAGGTTTTGGTTGTGTCATATCTTCGTCAAAACAAACAATATAACTATTCCTAAAGCTGTACCTAAATAAGAACGGTGACACAAAAGTCATTCCCCTAAGAATAAAAGTGCTTCCTTTTCATTCTTTGTTAGCATTCCAATGTCATATTATTTAGAATCCTTTATTTCAAGGGACGGCCATAAAGCATAGGCTATGTTTGACAAAGAATCTTCCCTACTAAGAAAAATACATTATCAAAAGCAAAAGAAGAAATTAAAACTATATAATAACATGATAAAGTTAAAGAAAATAATCATGGTATTGCACCGTCTAAAGATGCTGCTTGCAGACCAAGATAATGTCTTTTTCTTACTCTTCTCACCTTTCTTTATCCTTCACAATTTTATATTCTTAGCAATACTAACAATATAAAGCTAAGAAATTCACTATTTTATTTTGTTTTGATTCTAAAATAAAAACTTATATATAAGTGGCTCTCCTAAACATAATGCATCTTTTTTCTCCACCATTTTCAAACCCCTAAAACTCATTACAATTCACAACCATAACACAACCCCTTAAACACTGTTTCAAGAAACTGTCTTCATTTCTCTAAAGAAACATTTTTTACGAAATTACGAAAATGGGTACGGTTCGAAAACTCATAGTAGAAGTTATAGACGCACAAAACCTTGCACCAAAGGACGGTCACGGAACTTCAAGTCCTTATATCGTTATTGACTTCTACGGTCAAAGAAAAAAAACTCGAACCGCGGTTCGCGACTTGAACCCGGTTTGGAATGAAACGTTGTCGTTTAACGTTGGTGAACATAACGAAATTTTCGGTGACGTGTTAGAACTCGACGTTTACCATGATCTGAAACATGGGCCAATTCGGAGAGAAAACTCACTCGGTCGAGTTCGACTCAGTTCAACTCAGTTCGTTAGAAAAGGTGAAGAAGCTTTGATTTATTATGAGTTGAAGAAGAAAAGTTTGTTCAACACCGCACAAGGAAAAATCGGCTTGAAAATTTACTACGTAGATGAAGAAATTGCTCTGGAACCGGCACCGGTTAAACCAGCATCACCACCGCCGGAGAAGATAGATGAAGCTAAGATTAATGAAACAGAAGTAGAGCCATCACCGGCGCCACCGTCTGAACCATCGCCAGAAGATCTTCCGGAGGTTGAGAAAACCGAACCAGCACCGCCACCCGAAGCTGATCCCGAACCAAAGTCTAAACCAAAACTTAAAGAAGAAGGTGAAGATCCTGTGGATGCGTTACCACCGGAAGCATTTGAAATGGCAGCAGCATCTATATCAAGGTCAAATTCAGAAATCAGATTCAGCGGAATCAACGGTCCACAGCCAATAAGAAGATCAGCATCAACGACTAGTTTTACATCAGAAGCTTCAGTAGACAGCATGTTGATCGAACGGTCCACTTTCGATCTCGTTGAAAAAATGCACTACCTCTTCGTTCGTATTGTAAAAGCAAGGTACTTACCTACAAACGGTAACCCGATAGTGAAGATTTCAGTTTCGGGTTCAGATCACACCGTTAATTCCAAACCCGCTCTCAAAACAACGTTATTCGAATGGAACCAAACATTCGCTTTCACCCGCGACACACAGGATTCTTCCCCTATACTTGAAATCACCGTATGGGACCCACAAGCTGACGTGGAGAATCATAGTTTGCTTGGTGGTGTTTGTTTCGACGTAAATGAGATTCCGGTGAGGGACCCACCAGACAGTTCTTTGGCGCCACAGTGGTATAGAATGGAAGGTGGTGGGGCCCAGCATGGTGACATAATGATTGCCACGTGGGTTGGTACACAAGCTGACGAATCATTTTCTGACGCGTGGAAGAGTGACACCTCTAATCACGTGACTTCAAAAGCGAAAGTTTATCAATCACCAAAGCTATGGTATCTTCGTGTAACAATTCTTGAAGCTCAAGATAATAATACAACGCCATTAACTCCGTTAAAAGAGAAATGGTTTCAGTTTCAAATCAGAGCTCAGATTGGATTTCAAGTGTTTAAAACGAAAACGGCCGTTACTAAAAACGGTGTCGTATCGTGGAATGAAGATCTTCTATTTGTTGTAGCGGAGCCAGTGTCTATAAGTGATTGCATTGTTATAAATTTGGAAAACCGGCAACCGAAAGCGTCGGTGACAATGGGTATTGTGAAAATACCTTTAGCGACAGTTGAAAGAAGAGTTGATGACCGGAACGTCGGGTCACGCTGGTTTACTTTTGAAAATCCAAATGAAGAAAACAAAAATGGTTACAAAGGAAGAGTGCACTTACGGTTATGTTTCGATGGAGGGTATCACGTGATGGATGAGGCTACTCACGTGAGTAGTGATTACCGGCCAACCGCAAGACAACTTTGGAAACCACCGGTTGGAAGTATTGAACTTGGTATTATTGGTTGTAAGAATTTGATACCGATGAAAACGGTAAACGGTAAGAGCTTCACGGATGGTTACTGTGTTGCGAAGTATGGGGACAAATGGGTACGAACGAGAACTGTTTCGGATAGTTTGGAGCCGAAATGGAATGAGCAATACACGTGGAAGGTTTTTGATCCGTCAACTGTTTTGACGGTCGGAGTTTTTGATAGCTGTTCAGTTTTCGAATGGAATGATTCAAAAACTGAAACAATTAGCGGCTCAACAAAGTCGGATTTTCGTATTGGTAAAGTACGCATACGTATTTCCACACTTCAAAATGGTCGAGTGTATAAAAATGTGTATCCGCTTTTGGTTCTGACACATGGTGGTTTGAAAAAGATGGGTGAGATTGAGATAGCGATAAGATTTGTTCGCACGGTTCAACGGTTGGATTTTCTTCATGTGTACTCTCAGCCAATGTTGCCGTTGATGCATCATATAAAACCATTGGGTGTGGTTCATCAAGAGGTGTTGCGAAATACGGCGGTAAAAATGGTGGCGGGGCATCTTTCGAGGTCTGAGCCGCCGTTGAGAAAAGAAGTTGTGTTTTATATGCTTGATGTTGATTCGCATAATTTTAGTATTAGGAAGGTACGTGTAAATTGGTATAGGATAATTAATGTGGTTGCTGGTTTGATTGAGATCGTACGGTGGATAGAAGATACACGTGGATGGAAGAATCCGACGGCTACGATTCTTGTTCACGCTTTACTTGTTATGTTGGTTTGGTTTCCTGATTTGATCGTTCCCACGTTGGCATTTTATGTCTTTGCTATTGGCGCATGGAACTATAGGTTTCGAGCGCGTGGTCCTCTTCCACATTTTGATTCGAAGATTTCACTTGTTGATGTGGTGGATATGGAGGAGTTGGATGAAGAGTTTGATACAATGCCAAGTAGTAGGTCGGGTGAAGCAATACGTATGAGGTATGATAAGTTGCGTACACTTGGGGCACGTGTGCAGACAGTGTTAGGAGATTTGGCGACTCAAGGGGAGCGCGTGCAAGCAGTGGTCACTTGGCGTGATCCATGTGCTACTGGAATTTTTATTTTCTTATGTTTGGTTGTGGCAATGATATTGTATTTGGTGCCTTCGAAGATGGTCGCTATGGCTTTTGGATTCTATTATCTTCGCCACCCTATCTTTCGTGACCGCTTACCGTCACCAGTGTTGAATTTTTTTAGAAGACTTCCTTCATTGTCAGATCGAATTATGTAGAATCTACTTCTTCTTTTTTGTTGAATAGTAAACGAATTTGATGAGATTTAAAAGTTATACAAAATATATGTGTTATATTATAATAGGTGAAAAGTGATTTGATTAAGTATTAGTCTGAAATTGCATTAGAGCCACTATCATTATTTTTATGTTCGGTAAATTATTTGTTTTATGTGTGTTTGTAATTTAATTTATCATGCTTGTATTATTTGTTAATAATTTAGGTGTAATATTATGCCTCACTTATTAGATATGTACCATAAATTTTCCTTCCATTCAATCTATGAGATTTGACTCCATATAAATGTGTTTTAGCCTTTTCAGAGTTAGATGGAAGTTAAAATCTTGAGTGTTATTTGAATTTCAAGTTAGAAGTCTTAAATCAAGGTTTTTGGAAGTTTTGATTCGAATCATACATGTTGTGGTTCGAATCATGAACTTATTGAGTTTGTCTTTGCGAGTCTCGTTTGAATCAAAGAAGTTTGTGACTCGAATCACAATACTTTCTTACTCGAATCATATGATTGTTGATTCGAATCAAAGCCATCCAAACTTCTTCAAAACTAAGTGTGATTTAAATCACACATTGTTTGATTCGAATCACCCATTAAGGCTTGATTTAAATCACCAATACCATACCACTTACTTCATTATCTTTGATTTTCCTCATTCTTTCTTTGATTCAAATCATAATAACTCATGATTTGACTCACTCTCATTGTTCATTTCCTTTCTTTTTAAGCCTTACCTCTAGCACCTATTTAAATCATTTAGTTTCCTCTCATTAAAGTGTGATGATTTATGAGTTTCTAATTGAGATGATCCCACAATAATGAATGGTGATCACAATTGATAGAAACTTCTTTATAAGCTATTGAACGTTTTTGTTTTGAAAACCCAAAAAATTAATCTAAACCTAATTATTTCTTTGTCAAGAAACTTGAGAGAAATTATTAAGTGATTTCATCATTCACCAACCATCTATCTCCAAAATTTAACCATGTGAGAAGCCTCTTAGAGTGTTAAGAGTGTGATAATTATGTTGTTGTATTGTGTGAGATTCTTTAGATACTATTAATTCTCTTCAACCTCATACCAAGAAATCATTGTTATGGGTCTTAACTCTAAAGGTTGAGTGAGAGGTAGATTTACGTACATAGTAAATCTAATGTTTTTTGTGTGAAGTTTTATTGTTTGTATCATGATAAGGGATCATTTCTTGATCACATTGTTGATTGGTGCTTGTTAATCAAGAGAAAAAATTTCTTCATACTCCAAGGAAGACTTTGGTGGGTCTGAGTAAAGGTTTTCGCAGAACAAAGTTGGGAGTTATCCTCATTCGGTGATAGAACAATTGCCCATACAGTCTTCGTGTTGGTGTAAGCCCTAGAGGCCATTACTTTTGGTAGTTGTATCGAACTATTTATTAATAATAAAAGGAATTTCTTTATTATGTTTGTTTTTCCAGAATAATAAAGTCCCTAGAATAGCTAGTTCGTTTAGTGAAATATTAAGTGTGACTTAATCATGAGATTCCATTAAACATAAAGACAATATTCTTAAAGTATCCGTAGTCGAGCTTTATGGTGAAGTGATATAACCTTAAAGCATTAAGACTATTATGTAGATAGACTGATGATCACATCTCATGGATCATGGATAAGGAGTTGTCAAGTCTTAACATAGGTATGAATATTAGGAGTAATATTTATACTATATTGAATCGCTATGAGAGTACTACATAGAATGTTATGTAAAGTGTCATAAGTTACTCTCATGGTGATAGTGGTGTATACCGCCCTTCGACCTGAAACCACTATAGACCCTAAATATAGAGTCAAGTACTTTATTACTGATCTAACATTGTCCGTAACTAGATGACCCTAAAGATAGTTGATGGATACTCTATAAAGCATGTTGAATGACATGAGTGACCTAGATGGAATTTACCCATCCTGCATAATAGGATAAATGTCTAAGGGTCCAATATTGAACTGAACAAGGATGATACAGTATATGCCTTGTGTTCAATATAGATATAAAGGCAAAAGGGTAATTATACACACACGTACTATCATAAAAGATTTTGTTAGATCACATGACATTTTCGTGACTTGGATAGTAGTAATGTATTGCTAGATACCGCTCACTGTTTATTATATTAATTATATGATTTAATATAATTGTCAATGTCACGAGAACCTAAAAGGTCACACATATAAGGAAATATTAATGAGAGATAGAATAAATAAGGATCACTGTAAGGTACGGTGTACTTAAGTGAAATATGGAACATCGTATAATATAATAATAAGAGTTGTTATTATTATTATTATTATTATTATTATTATTATTATTATTATTATTATTATACAATAATAAAAAAAATATGTTTATTATAATAATGGTTAGTATATTATTATTATTATTATTATTATTATTATTATTATTATTATTATTATTATTATTATTATTATTATTATTATTATTATTATTATTATTATTATATGGTGCACTTAAGTTGGGCTTTTTAACTTGCGGTCCCACACATGTGGTTCTATAAATACAACCATTGTGTAGAAGTTTTAGAACTTGATGAAATTCAGTTGGTGAAACTCTGGCCGTATTTCTCTATTTTTTTCTCTCTCACTCAAAGTCTTCATTCGTAGCAGCTAACACTGAGATTGAAGGCATTCTTTTCGTGTGGACCGAGTAGAGACGTTGTTCTTCATTCAACACTCGTGATCATTCATCCGGATTTACTTCAAAATTGTTAATCACCACAAGAGGTAACTGTTTATATCACTGATCATGCTCATTCGTAAGGATCACTAAAGAGAAAATTTTAATTCCCGATGCATTTTGGGTAACGATTTCTATTCAGTGGTATCAGAGCCATTAACGAAACCATGAATCTGATAGATGTTTATTTTATGTATTTTTTGATTTAATTCGATTAAAAAATAGAATAAATTAAATAATAAAGAAAATTAATTTTGGCATCATATTGTGTATGATTTTGATGATTCGATATTAACTATGCTTTAAAATCCGACTTTTGTATGATGAAGCAGTGATACATCGATCATTCATAAGTTACACAAAAGTGATTGATCAATTTCATATAATATATGAATAATTCGGATGCAACGACGGTATATTTGATATGTCTTTTATTTCATCGATTTGATTTCTGTGATGATTTCATTTCATGTGATTGATCAATGTTCTTTTACTTCAGAATCTGATGTTTGTATTATGAAGCAATGGCATTTTGATCAATCGATTTAAATAATCGATCGTTACGATTTTGATGGTATAAATGAGTTACATTAGAATTTTTGACGATACAAGAGTTGTGTTGTCAAGAGTTATTTTAAGGTTTATAAAAATTTATATTATAATAATAATTGTTATTATTATAATAAGTATTTTATTTTATTTTATAATTTAATAACAAATGTTGTTATTGTTATTATAAATTACATACACATGTTGCGGTAACAGTAACGAGAAGTTGCCAGACCCAAACCTACTGCTCGTGCTTTGAAGCCTAAAGGAGGCATAACAAAGGAGGGAACTTACTTCTATTGGGGTAAGACCGGACACTGGAAGAGAAACTGCCCAAAGTACCTGGAAGATAAGAAGAATGGAGTAGAGACTTCAACTTCAGGTATTTATGTTATAGAAATAAATTTATCTACTTCTGCCTCATGGGTATTGGATACTGGATGTGGTTCTCAAATTTGTATTAATGTGCAGGGGCTAAGAAGAAGTAGAGATTTGGAAAAAGATGAAGTTGACCTACGAGTTGGGAATGGAGCAAAGGTTGTTGCTTTAGCTGTAGGAACTTATGTATTAGCAGGAATATTATTTTCGTTCTTGTTTGGACAAGTTTGGTTTTTCATTCATAATAAATAACAATTATTGCTCCATTTATTTGAATGATATATTTTATGGTACTACGCAAGTGAACAACGGATTATATGCCCTTGATCTTAAAATGCCAATTTATAACATTAATACTAAAAGGATGAAACTTAATGATTTAAATCCATGTTGCCTTTGGCATTATCGCTTAGGCCATATAAATGAGAGGCGCATCTCTAAACTCCATAAAGATGGACTTTTGGACTCTTTTGATTACGAATCATATGATACATGCAGATCTTGTTTAATTGAAAAGATGACAAAGTCCCCATTCACAGGAAAAGGTGAAATGGCTAATGATCTTTTGGCCCTCATACATACTGATGTATGTGGACCACTAAACATACTGGCCAGAGGAGGTTTTTAATATTTTATCACATTTATTGATGATTTCAGTAGATATGGTTATGTGTATTTAATGAAACACAAATCTGAATCCTTTGAAAAGTTCAAGGAGTTCAAGGATGAAGTACAAAACCAACTAGGTAAGAATATTAAAACTCTTCGATTAGATTGAGGTGGTGAATATTTAAGCCTAGAGTTTGATGACCATCTCAAAGAGTGTGGGATTCTATCCCAACTCACTCCTCCTGGAACACCACAATAGAATGGTGTATCTGAGAGAAGAAATCGAACCTTGTTAGACATGGTCCGTTCCATTATGAGTCACGCCGATCTTCCAAACTCCTTTTGGGGACATGCACTACTGACAACAGCTTACACACTTAATTGTGTTCCATCCAAAAAGGTTGAGAAGACACCATATGAGATATAGAGTGGTAAGAAACCACATATGTCTTACATGAAGATTTGTGGTTGTGAAGTTTATGTGAAATGACAAACTTCAACTAAGCTTAAGCCCAAATCTGAAAAATGCTTATTTGTGGAGTATCCTAAAGAAACAAGAGGGTATTAATTATATAATCCTTCTGAGGGCAAAGTGTTTGTCGCTCGAACTGAGGTTTTCTTGGAAAAGCATTTTATTTCCAAAGGAATAAATGGGAGGAAAGTAGAGCTTTAAGATATTCAAGAATCACAAAGCATTGATACACCTATAGATGAATTAGAGC